TAATTGCCATCACTCTCATAGGTAAGATAAGGTTAGTTACGTTCAAGGGGAGGCGCGCAATTAAGATGAGGTTAGTCATTAATGAGGTCACTTCGCACCTCGGCGCGAAGAAATGTCAGTCGAGGCTAACGTCGCACACCCAGCCAGTCTCCACCAACCACGGTGAACGGTTCGAGTCCATGGTTCATCCTTTGTTCTCGGGACATGAAAAATTGGATGTGCTTTTACGTAGTGCTATAAGAGGAGAAGTCCGAAATGATAATGAATCATAGATGGCGTGTATCTACTTAAATTACACCGTGATAGGCCAATTAGCAGTATTGCTGGAAAGCTATTCCTGGGGTGCGGGTAAACGAGTAGTTTCACAGTTCTCAAGGGAATAAACCTACTGTAAAAATACTCATACCCAAAAAAATTCATTAAGAGGAGACTTTCATGCACTGTCCGTTTTTAAAGATTTTGATTACCTTTTATCAACTGAAGCTGGGGAAAGAAACATCCCTCAGATCCGTTCAGTACCAAAGTATTTTCAGAGAAGAAGACACCTCCGTGTTGACGTGGTTTATGCGTCATTCGATCATCTTCTCATCGTTTGCTCAGATCAAAAACTCAGAACATCGAGCACATCCCTTGAAATCCCCGGCCGATCTGAACTTTCGCTCCATGATCGCCATAAACCCTATTCCGGTTACCTGGTCGAGAGCCCGTTCAAAGGCTTTTCGTGTTCTTCTCATAAATCGAAGGGAAAAAGGGTAGTCCCTCTTTTAGAAACAGCCTTGACAATTTTCCGCGTCCCTCGAACAACTGCTTTACACTTGTTGATCCCGGAACTGACGTGTTCTCTTTTGATTGATCTCTTGAGCTAAGTACACACAGCTGATTAGTTCAGCGACGCTCAAACCGTTCAGCACAAAAAAAGTACCAACGGTTCGTTCCCTCTGGAAATCGTCTTTTCTTGTCGCCACCCCATTCCACATTAACCGTTTCACATAAGCAGCCTAAATTTCGAAGAAATTACCGGTAATCAATGACTTCTAGTTACCGTAATTACTAAGAGATTGTAGTCATGGCCGTGGTAAACAGCACGAAGTGCGAAGTAAAGCAATACAAAGTGAAGTCTTTCATTGTTCGCAAAATTGATATCACGAAACAGGCACAAGAGTACGATTCGAATGATTTACATTTACATTCCGGTGTTATAAACAAAGTAAACCTTAAAAACTAACCGGCCTATTCGACGAATCGAATCCCCTATACCCAATGTACTCGATATTAATCGATCGAATAACATTGTAAAAAAATACATACAGAACAAGTACAGATAACAAAGCCATCAGGTCGAACATTTTGGGACACCGAGTGAAATGCATGATTGAAACATTCGGCGGGACACATAGAGGGCTCTAGCTGTCCGAAGCTGGCTGCTATGAAGCAAATTATGATGCTATTGTAACAAAAAAAAANAAAAAAAAAGAAAGAAAAACAATGATGATATACATGAAATGTACAATGATATACATATCTTTACAATCTGAACGTACAGGGAATTCACAGCGGGACACGTACGATAAATACAGTATACAAAGGCCGCATGGGCATGCACACGAACAACATTTTGATAAGCTTGAAGCCGCAACGAAAAACCCAAACTAAACAAGAGCACTCAACGCATAAATGCTATACATGAACCTATGGCGGCTGCAAAGGAAAAAACAAATAACCTGTAATCAACTAGCAATGACTGAGTCAAATGATATCTTATCACAGGATAGAGAGGCAATAGGCGAAAGCACTCATAGAGGCGCGACTCGTTTTTAAGATTAAATTTGTCTTAAGGTTGTCCACTACCACCTGGGACTTCATCATTTTTCCATTTATGACGCTCATCCTGATATACATCAGGCCTTAACTGGTTTCGGATACCTGAAATATGAAGTTTCTTGCTTTTGAGAAAAAAAGCAGTAAAATATATTTGCTGGGGGCAAGGACTAGGGATAAAGCTTTTGGCGTCAATCACCGTCGTTTTTAAGACTCGCCCACGCATCTAACACACATTCATGGCTACAAGGGCGTATTTTATGTGTACCTGGCCCATATAATTATTTTCTTTGACCAACCGGTCAGCTCAAGTCAGTACTTTTGACCTCTCAAACGAGCTTCATACCAATCACGACCACGGACAGATGGAAGGCTTGATTGGCCTAGACGAATAACGAAAACGGGATCAATCCCTGTTTGGTAATAAGCCTCTTGTGACAACATGTCCAATATTCATCTTTGTAAATAAGAATACACTCTCTCATAAAGGCAAAAAAAAACAAGCCCGTCTTCATGAAACCAACTTCAAAAGGGTTAGAAAGCCTTCTGAGTGGCACTACACTATCCTGTCTGGAACGATTAGTTTTTGGCAGAGTGAAAATGGCCAAAGAGGTCAAATTATGAAATTCCTTTTCATTTTTTACTGTTCAAAATATTCGATTTGTTGTCAGCCCAACTGGTATAATGAATAAGGTACGAAAGAAGTTTAGGTATCTACCGTGTCACCTAAAAAAGAGGCAAATTAAAGGTGAATTCTGAAGAGCCTTCGCATTTTATTTGTCAGGTTCAAAGATATGCGGTCAAACCTTAGTTCCTTTCTAGGCTCATTCTCTTTTGGAACCATTCAAAAAACTCATTCAAAAGACCTGATATACAATGAAAACTAAATGTTGAATGGGTCACTCACCTCCTAAAACTTGGTAACCGATTTGGGTACCAGCGACCAACGGGCCAATGATAGCTTTTGGTGCTACTTTGAGAACACTGCGGAACGATGACTGTCCTGAGGCACGGTCTTCCTGTGCAGCTAATTCCAAATCATCGCGAGCTTGTCGGTAACCCTAAAAAACTCGTCTTTCGGACATAGTATAAATGACATCAAATTTCCAGGACAGGGTCTAACTACGGTAATGTAGGGAACACTGAAATTTCAGCAGAGAGAATCAATCCGTCAACGGAAACGAACACCGTTTTGGAATCAGCTGTTCCCGGTGATGAACAAAAGTGGTGTACTTGTGTTAGAACGACTCAGAGTAAAACCACCGATTTGTCGTATAAAGCACCATCTACCGCTTATGGTGCTCACATTTGCGACTTCACTTACATTACTGAGGAGTAAGCTGAGAAAACATACTTCTGAAGCTATATCATAAGCAAGTTGTAAGCCATGGCGCAGATCCGTTGGGGCAGCTGCTCTTGCTGCTGCAGCTCGACGATTTCGTTCATTCAAATAGGGAGCAGAAGGCTGGACTTCATGTAGCACAGACTCGGCGAGCATCTTCAACATTATCAAATTACAGGAGACAGCACAATTCATTTCAAAAAAGACTTATGAGTAAAAAAGAAAGGGCTGTTTGGGAGACTACCTGTATGACCCCTACTACAGTCTGGGCCATTCCGACTACACCAGCTGCCGATGACAGTCCGAAAGAGCCAACACCTTTCTGGATTCCTTTCACGACATGACCGTCCTCTTTGCGCAGTTCCGCAACAGGAAGCCAGAACAGGTCCACCAGACCTTTGCCTGTAAAACGATTTTCGATCTCTTAGAACATCATTGCTACTTTTTATTCATCAACTGGGCCAGGTATTACGATTAAGCACAGGTTGAGACATTTAAGAGTATTTAAGTGACTTTTAAATATTACAATCTACGGTAAGTAATGATCGACCGCAGAAATTAACTAATAACAACAAACCGATTTGTACGAATGGACTTATTGGACCACAACTTGCTAGGACGCTAGGCAAATTAGACTTGATATCCGCCATCCATTCGTCTACAGCAACCTGAAAGGGAGGGAGCTCAATTGAACCTTATTTGTAAGAAGGATGCGAACCCTAAGGTCCGAATTTCAGAAACAAAATTAACAAATGTCTCACATTTATGCAACGTCCGACGCCCAGCAATCCATTTCGGTTGACTATTTCTTTGAGAACAAATTCACTACGATTCAGATGCCCAATACCACTCAAAACGGCTGCAAATTGTTGGCTTTTATCCTATTATTACCTTACAACACAGGAAATGTTGATGAAGAACCAACCAAAAACAGCTCCATTCCTCTCCACATTGATTTTGTTCTTTCCGTGATAGTCTACGTAAATGGACACAGCAGGCGAGAAGACGAACTCCCTGAAACAAGGCGAACATAAAAAAAAAATCACAAAAACGGTGAAAGCCACAAGCTGTAAACATTATGAGACACGATAGTAAACGACGAGATTAGTTACGTACTGCATGCCTGTGTTCAATGTCCGCGCCAGGTTTAACTAATTAAGGAATATGCACTTGTCGGCCATGTATTTTGTAAAGCTGCAGCGATTAGCATGCAGCCAAAACACATAAATGAAATGACAATTGATTAAATTTACTTGAAAAACGTGTTGCCACGAGTGGATTCCGTCGCATCGCAGCTGTAACGACATTCGGCTGACGATGACGCCATTTGTGTAGACGTCTCATCATCATCGGTAGTCTGAATTGACATTATTGATCCAAGAAACATCACCATCAACCCCTCCCCCCCCCCCCCCCCCCCCCCCCTTCCTTTCAGGATACTTTATGCAGAGAAAAAATACAGTTCGAAAAGCATCAACTGCTCCGCAACCCATCACCTGCGCACAAAAGTTGGTGACCATGAAAACATTACAGCCAAATGTATGCATAGAATTGGATTAATACAACTAGTAACGACATATTATGCTATCTTTTATAAAAATTTACAAAACAATCACAAATCTCACCCTATCACCGTCTTTCATGCAAGCGTCTATTTCGCCGCTGGTATCTACAAGTTCGTCGCTGACAAGCACATCACCGTGAGCTGCGCCATCATCGGCTATCATCATACTGGGATGGAATGATTCGTGCATCGAAGCTTCCATCAACATTTTATCTACTGAGCTAGTTGGAGCCGTGTAGTCCATATCAGGGAGCCTAGAGATTAAGGTTGCCAACGATCAGACACGCTCAAAATTCCTGAAGAATTCATTTCACCAACCTAATTTCGCTACTACTACTCCAGTCTCCAGCAAGATGGAGGTCATCCGCCAAAAGCCCGTCATCAGCTGTTGAAGTGGCTGGTATTAGATCTGGACTGTCCGAAAGCATAAAGTCCGGACTAGTTGCCTAAGGGTAAACAATCAGAGAATGAAACGAATGTACAAGTAATCGCCATACAAATCCAATGCTTACCTGCGGCGAAGAGTCTCCAAGTGGCGTCAAACGCTGCGATGCTCGACTTTTAGTACCGAACAGATTACCTAGAAGATTATTGGTTGTGTTTGTTTATTTAAGAAAACTAATTAACTGATTCAGCTTGATTATGAGTTCAAATAAGCTAAAAATCCTACCTATAGAAACAGCTGATGCCGTCAAGGGAGCATCAACGGCGGGAGATTTTTTCATAGGTGAAGTAGATTTGTTTCGATTTTCCAGATAAGAAAGATCATCTAAAGCATAACAGGTTTATACAGACTCTTGCAGGAAAGAAAAGAGAAAACTCACATATTGGAGATGAAGGAGCAGCTTCTGGCGTTAAAACATCCAGATTCAATGGAGTATCTCGACTATGCGATGGATAAAGTGGACTACCTTTCCTCGAACCCTTTTCAGTCTCGGAACAGATTGTTGCTGGTACTTCCAAAACTGGTCTAGTAGCTACGGCAGCAGACACTTGAAAAAAAGGGTCCAGCACATTGTTTACGAATAAGCAACTATTACTACCGTTTGCGAAATGATTTAAATCGAGCTTGTTTTACCTTCATTAGGGATCACAACACGTGTTCGTACTTCTTGGAAGAAATCGTCCAAAAACTCCATTGTATCTTGATCAATGTTGAACTTTATTGGCAGCATTGAGACCTGAACATGAATTTCGTTAGTGTATGCCTTCAACTCCTAGACTGCTCAATAAGTACAGAAGATGTCAAAAATCGTTATATCGCATAATATTGTAGCTGTCGTAAAGCCACACTCACTCAGAACTTTTATCTCAAAAATTGCCCACATGTTACACCGAAGAGATGTTTTCGAGTCAATTGGATTGAAAAATTTCCGAACGCTAATCAAAACCATAGACCAAGTACCGAAATTTAGAACGTTCTCACAATATTTCGGAGATTTTTCGGCCACTTATTCTTCTGTGACCTGTCACTTGTTAGGTGAACAAGGGAATTAGTGGCTAAAAAATCTACGACCTATTAACTCACAGAAATAATGGAAACTTTTACGAGTGTTTTTTTTTNNTTTTTTTTTCTGAGGATTCTTCATTGAGCTTAACCTTCCCACTGCAGATACATTTAGTATTTACAGTAAAAAGTAGTAAAAGCAGCAAAATATCCTTAGGTTAAAAATGAGATTGTTTTTCAATTACGCTATAAATTCTACAAAACATCTCACCCTCAGCTTTCCTTCGTTTTTATGAGATTCAACCATACGAATAGCCAACATCGGGGCGCATGTTCGTCGAGGTTGTTCAGCAGACGAGTACTGTAAGGTACTACCACTATTACAAAACTGAACTATTGAGAATATTCTACTATAGACACACCTGATACATCATCTCTTTGATCTGACTTGCTACTAACTTATCATAAAGGGTTACATCGTGAATGGTGAACAACTTCATTGACATTAACGGTGCATCCTTATTGAATTGTTGGAATATACAAGTAATCTGAAGCAAATACTTACAGAATTAGGAACTTGGAAAGTAAGTCTTTAACAGCATACCTTTTTCAACTCGAGCACAACACAAACGGAGTGGTCACGATGTTTCCCACCAACTGCATCCGGTGATACGACCTGGTTCTTCCCTTTACCCTCACGATATTCAGGCGTACTGTAGCTACGCTCTTTTGGAGTTTCGTCACCTAAACGAATGGGTTTTCAAAAAGTGGTGGAACAGTATGGGCCGGGTTGAGAAAAGATTCGAAACGGAAAATGTCACTTACTGAGGTCCGATCCACCAAAGAGATGAATGCTCACAGAAATATCGCGAAGCAAATACCTGAAACATGTCTGGCAATAACCTGGAAGAGAAGGACAATGACCCCTCTAAATACGTGCATACACAAAATACTTTGTAATCAAAGCAACAATAAAAAAGAAATCTGCTTCTTCCTCGGCTTTTCACAGGAACGAAAATTCAGTCCGGCACTCGGTTCTTACAGTAATCCGGCACGTGTTAATACGCANATTTTTACCCGTCGCATATAGGCGCGTCGAAAAGGGGCTTTGGGCAAGGACACGGGGGTGGGTGGTGGGGTAAGCCAGGGGGTTACTGTAAGAGCCGAGTGCCGGACTGGATTTTTCATTTTAGTCGGCTTTTCAAGAGCGGGGCCGACTACTGCATAACCACCACGTTTTCTTCACCCTTTTATTTCGAAAGTTCGGCAGGATGCCAAAACTCGTGTGAAAAGTTCTCACAAGAAATCGGTAAAAATTTGAATGAACATTGAATTTGAAACCCTCTATCAAAAACACAAAATAGCGAAGATGTTAGAACGTAAAAGATGTACCGCGCAACTGGTGACGGGAAATCCGCCGGCAGAGCAGCTAGACCATCACCACGCCAATCACTGGGAATAGGAAAATGATGCGGATCTATGCTGATGCCTGCATTCGACGGAGACCGATTGCTTCGAGAGCCGATGTACTTGATGACAGGCTCACCCGTAGCACTCTGGAAAAAAAAGCGCATTTTCAGAAGCTATTCAAAACCACTATGCTACCTGTACTCAATAAATGCATCCTTTTCAAAATACACATTTGAAACGACCTTAATAACAGTTACAAAACCCACCTCCTTTCCTAGCCGATGTAAAACTAGTAACAAGAGTGACAACTCAATTCTTCAACTCTTTAAGGAACAAATAAAAGAAGCGAGAGAGGAACGCTCTCAAAGACTGAGAATTTTATCTGAGGAAGTACAGAACGAAAACAAAGAAATCATCCTGCTACCTTGTTTGTGGTAACCACAATACTCAACGTTCTCCTGTTTCCCATCAAATTATTTCATAATATTACGCCAACTTACAGTTATCCCGCTACCAATGACGTCCTCATCTACCATACAAAATTCATCGTCTGTTGACAAAGAATATGCTCGATTTCGCTCCGCATGTGCGTTCTCTGCCATTGCTTTTGCGAGCAAGTTCTGGAACACCCACATTAAGTAATCTTACTAGCTTGACAGGTCTAAACTCCTCATGTTCGATTTAAATTCATTGGAAATTCAAAACATAAATTGAATTTGATATCGACCTCACCTGATTGACAGAGAAGTTTGGGGAAAACTCCTCAAGGGCTTCCCTACCGCAAGGGATTCCGGCGCCATCAGACCCTGATGGTGATATTTCTTGCATCGCAGAAGCAAGCATCCGCTAAAATAGCAAATATCAGGCCTAGGCTCACCGAAATAGGCTTGCACCGCAATACCTTCATTTTCATCTCGACAGGTTTAGGGAGACTGCTTGTACTTTGACTAGCGGAAGGAGTTGGTGTGTCGTGCTGAATGAGGAATAACACTGCTTCATTTAATGCCTGATACATTCATTTCACCAGCCATCAAACTCACTTCAGACTGTGCGCTGTCGTCGCAACTGTCCGTAGAATGACAAACAGAAACTTCCTTTGACTCAGGTGGGGCGAATTTCTCGGATCGAGAAATCTCGGAAGCCAAGTTTAGCAAGACGACAAGGGAATCAACGCAAACCCAAGCCTGAAGACAAAATGCTATATCTAAACCGAACTCAACATTTATCTCTTACTCTAGCTATACCTTGATGATATCATTCCGGCATCGAATTTCAAGAACAGGTGCGGTGACGTTGGAGTCATCAGTAGCAGGTACCAAAGAAGACAGAATCTGAAAAAAAAAACCGTGATTTGTCATCATTAAAACAATGATCACGCTCGATGGGTCGTAAACAAACAGAAAATAAGGGGACGGGGGGTGGGTAGGTCAGTATTTGTCTGCGAGTGAAGTAGCTGAAGTATTCTTTAATAAAAGAACACCGAAACAGATTTTTTCCGTTGAAGAGTATTTAGCTTGGCCAAAGCCTTCAAGCTGATTCGGCTTTGAGCTTTACAGAACAAAAATGACATTATGAATATAGTTTGGGCGCCCCTTCACGATCTTCGGCAGTGAAACTGACTGTGAACAATTGATAACACTATATTACTAGGAGTTCTTCTACAGCCTCTTTGGAAACTGGCCATTAATATTACGATGAACTCGGGAATAAGTTCATATAATGTTCCAAAAAATACCTCCAACTGGAACAATCCAACATCCACCACTTTAAAGAATTTTCGTTTTACAGGGCTGCTCTTTGCTGTTCGTCCAGGAGATCGCTGTTCCACAAAACGAACATTATCCTTCGACTTCTTCGCATTACTCATGTAGAGTCGAGCACTTTCGAATATACTCACTACCTGCAGTAGAAGCAAAGTTAGAAATGACGATATCTGGATGTAGGCAAACACACCCACCTTTGCGGCATTCATATCCTGGATAATGGAACTGCTGATGTCACTTTCTCCCAGCACTAACCTGAAACACTAGGAAGTAGGTCCTAGCTCGAGTCATACGGCTTCGATAAATTCGTACCGTAATCGAATATCGCTATCAGGACATATCCATGAATGATCATAAGCCAAAACTACGTTGTCCAAATGAATATGCAAATCGGTCTAAAAAATGCACAAGAAAATTAATGTAAAAACAAAACTAGTCACAATTCTCTTACCGTGACCACAGGGAGCTCGTAACCAGGTATAGGGTAATCCTGCAAAGCAAACAACTCTGCCAACTGGTACATCCATGTTTCTTTGGAGCTACGGAAAGGTCGCAGTTGCACACAAGTGCTTCGGACAGCAATAGCGAGAAGAACATCCTTGAAAGTTAAAAAAAATATGATACCGTTGCCAAGAAAAGGAGCACTATATCAAAAACAATCGAAAACCTTGATATTCTGCCCAAGCCGCTCGCATAGATAGATTGCAACGCCAACAGAGTCGTCGGTACACTGTGAACTGAACTCATCTGTCGAAGGGATAGTGTCCATTTGCGTATCGTCACGACTCCATTTTCCGAAATCTGCTTGATTCACCACTTTCGGCATCGTACACACATCTGCAAAGGCTGAAAACGAATAAGATCGCAAAAATGAAGAAAATATAAAAAATACATGTGGAATAGAGAAGATGGAATGTACTTACTCCTATGTCCAACACCTACGGTATGTGTTGTAAAGTAGAAGTAAGTGTCACTTATGCGTCCATGATATCCGGCAACCGTAAACAACTGTGCATCCGAGAGTTCAATCGAAATTTGACCTTTTTCACCCTGATCAGCATTCTGAAAAAAGAAATCAAACTACTCCACTGACATAGTTGTCTAGCAGCAATATTTCAGAACGAATGCTACTTGAAGTTAAGGTAAACGATTTGTAGTTACTACGAAGACTACAGAAAGAGAAGAAATTTACAGAATCGGGAAGTGTAATGATGCACTGCAGCAAATTTTTCGACCTAGAGTTATAAATAATGTCAGAACAAAAATTCGCAATGTAAATTGAACCTCGGCGCCCGTGCACATCAACATCATTCCTTTCTTCACATTCAACAGGAGACAGAGCGTGTGTGACTTGTTTTTATCATAGCCATTTGCTTGTGATGACGTGAAACGTTCTTCCTCACAATCATCCTCGTCTGGAATTGGGCTGTGCATTATGGCTGACCTCATTCGAAAGATTGTAGACCAATTGGATGAATAACTTACACCGGTCCACTGGATCACCACCGCACTCATGGAACATATCATCACTAAGAGCGTTGATCTTGAACTCATCATCACCTGGCCTCACACTGGGTGCAGCTGGTTGCCATAGAAGCAGATCGTTTACCTAAAATTCAAGCAAAACTTCACTGTTGTACATTGAAAATTACAAAATACAATGAAAAAGGTCTCGGCGTTGATCAGACTAGTTTTAGGAAGCGCCGACGCTTCCGAGTTTATTCCAATAAAGACACTTACCAGTCTGTTATAAAGCACCTCAAGATATGAGTGACTAGGTATCAAGAACCGCAGTATTGGTATATCCAATGATATCACCAATATCGACTGCAGGATACATTTAGCGCCGAATGCTGTCATTTCTTCACGAGAGCCAGCCAGGATCAACTGCAAATGGAGAAATTAAGCTGGAGTTCAAAGTTATTACAAAACTAAACAGAAACTCACATCATTGCCTTCTTCGTGATTATGGAGGTAAGAGCGATGAGTTTGTGCGAACGGACCCTCTCTCTGAGGCAAAGACTGCATAACAGAGAGTGATATGCTCTTTGTCATTTCGTCACTGATACCACTCACATAGTGGATTTTAGTGCTGGAAGCCTTGAGAGCCTTGTTGCGAGGATCATATTCGATTTTCACACTGCAACTACCTTTGTCAGGCTATAGCACATTCAACTGGAGTAAAGAGAAAATACTAAAACACACAGTGAATGAAACAGTATCAAATTTCTTCATATTTTGCTCTACTGCACACCAAAAACAAATGAGTAGGCTTCAGTAAGAAAGTTGAAGGGCCAAGATAAGAACAAAATTACGGAAAAGAGATACGAAAAAATAAAAAAAAAACGAGCAAAAAAAAGGCCGCTGCGAAGTGCAGCCTTGGGATCTATTTGTAGAGAGCAAAGGGAACCGCACGTACAAAAATCGGGTAAGCATAACGGTTTTTAAAGTTTTAAAAGATAGATGCTCTGTAGAAACTTACTGAACGGGCTCGTCTACAGACGTTTGTCCTCCCCAAACGAAGTGACGATCTTCATCCGAACAAGTGAACTTTTCCGACTCCCCACAGAAGCTTCCTAAATTTCGATATTCAAACAAAAAGCGTTATCTCTTCCAGTAAGAGAACAGTGAAAAGTATTGATCATTGATACGGAATTACCGTATATCTCTGTAGCAAACAGTTCCACCAATGTGCTTTCCCCTCCAATAGGTATTTCTACAGTCACTGAGCTGATGTGTAAGCCAATATATTCGGGATGAACATGACGCTGGCGATATGGCAGTCGAGCTCCGTTTGGGTTACGCAAATCAGCTATAGGTATCCTAAAAATCATCGGAATATAAAAGCATTAACTTTTGGTGATTATCAATTTTGGATAAAAAAAAACTCACCTTAGATTCAAATCAATGGCTTGACACTTCAAAACTACCATTAGCTTGCTAGGCTGTTCAAGGACAAGCGGTATACTGAATAGGTCATCACGTAGCTGTAGTGGTTCCTTCCTTAAAATGGCTCAACATTTTGGATACATTAAAAACACAGAGAAAAAACGACATCCATAAGCAAGTAGAGCAGAAAATTACTTTACTTGTAAATAACAAAGCTGTAATAAAGAGACGTGCAAAATTAACCTCACAATACTGTCCAACCTCGATCGCCTATACGATGGTAAGTCAAAAAATGGCCGTGGCTCGAAAAGGTCCGCGATTCTATCCACTATACTCAGGTCAAGCTCACATCGACACTTCCCTACGTAGACATACGCCTTTGACTGTAACAGAACGAATAAGAATTTATAAAAACAATACCAAACAGGAATAAAATACTTACATCCTCGCCACCTGCAGGAGACGAGAAAACCAGCTTAAGTTGAGGCTCCTGATCAGGATTCTCGAAATTTGAAAAGTCAAAGAGTGGTATATGAGGATTCTGCGGCTCACGCTGAAGAAGAGTAGACTTCAATACAGTATACACGAAAATACGATCTTGCTGAAGATAAGACAAACCGGATTCGATTCCGGTGCAAGGTACTCAATGACGTCCACATTCGGAAAGATCAGTTTTGCCTTCATTTGCTCGCATGCACTACTTTTGTCCATTTGATAATTGAAGACGACAGATGTACCGACAATTCTGTAACATCGGAATTGGTTTTCAAGGAAAAAACACTCGTATACCAGTTACTACTCATGGTACTTTACCTCAGATGATCTTTGCTGTATAACGTGTCTAACGTAGTTCTTGAAGTGTGCAAATTGGAGGGCTTCAGGAAAACTTTGGCAGCTTTCGTGAAAAACCTGAAAACGCTTGATTTGACACCAATAAATTTCTATTGAACAAATATCTGTAAACGACTAACGCTTCAGACTCCTTCAGAATGTAATCTACAGCTTCATGGCAACCATTGGAGAGGGTTTTCACATACTCCACCGACATGGCATCATTGTGAGGGATATAAACAAGGACCGTTCCAATTTTGGCGGATAACAACGTGCTCTCCTTCTTCGATGGGTCCGACTCTTGAAAAGTAGCAAATCAGAATAAATGACAAAAGAATCCAAGCATCGTTGAACCAACTTAGAGAATTGTAGTTGTCACGGCATGCTTCACTTAGTTTCCTGAGGGAACGGTTGTCCTCCAAATTTACAGAGTCAAACTCGTGGAATTCATCCCGTCTACTCCACGTACCTGTAGACCTAGTACCTTCCAGAACAACAAAGTGAAGGAAAACAAACAACTACAAAACAAAAGCAAATTGATCTAGCTATTTGCTGTGGAAATCCATCTACGGCGNTTAAATCAACCTTGCATTCCTAATGTAGTTGCGCGAGTTCTTTTAAATGTTTCTTCCTCAATATTCTTCGCCATCGCATCGTAATCGGATTTATCCATCTTTTTACCAAAGTCGTTCAATTTTTCGGCTGGAGGCAGTGATACTGAGTTGAAGAATCTAAATATTTCCGAATGAAATAACTGCATACAGTAGATGTGCACAATCTAGAGACAAGAACAAAATGCATAAAAAGCGCTTAACAAAAAACTTTTTCAACCTTTTGAGAATATCAATTTGTGAAGGCAAGATGAAACAATGTAGACCCGTAAAAAACGACTCGATTTCGACCTAAAACTGTAGCATGTATGTCGAAAAAACACACGAAAAACTGGTAACTCACCCTATTATCCTTTTTGTCAGCTACTGCAGTGGAATTTTTTATACGAAATATCAAACGAGATTCTCCAACAAATTCAGCAAACTTTACAGGACTAGACATTAATCTGCAAATGGCTATAATAATTGAAAAAAGTTGAGGAAAAAACGGAAAAAATCTAACTTTCGTTCAAGATCTATTCTTGAGACTCTGAATGGCTCTCCTATTGACTGATTCAGAAATTCGCTTGTATTTACTGTAAAAAAAANAAAAAAAACCAAGCAATTGAGTATAGCAGACATAGCTTAACAAGCGATGTTGGAAAACTTACAATTAGAGTAGCATGACTGAAAATCGGCAGTGGATGATGAGAGAGCCGAAGTGTATAGCTCGGGAGACTCTACCAAATCTTGATTAGCCGGCGTGGGCGATTTCTGAAACAAAATCGCGATAGGTATATAGATAACGACAAACCTCCAGCTATTGATTAAAGTAGTGTAACAAACGCTAATAACCTAATCGTTTGCCTGGTTTTTTTTCGGCCTAATATTTGGGCACATTTTTTAGTTTTCAACTAAACCCCGCCGGTGATTTGACATTTAGGATAGCAGCAATTCTGTCTAGCCCTGCACGTATTCATACCTCTAGTACCATCTGGTAGAGGTCTTTAAAACGCATCTCAACTGAATCAGAAAAGGAAGCCCAACTGTTAACCCGCTTGATATCTTTTAACTCAGTTTGGCTCACTAGCTCTGCCTTATGTTATATTTGACAAATAAACATCATGGGAACAGTGTAAAGTGTAGTGTAAATCACTTACGCTTACATTTTTTTGCATTCCTCGTCTTATGTACATACTCGTAACGATTTGACTAGAATTATTATCCGAATATTGATCCTCTAATTCCGTAAAAACGTCAGTGAATATTTCCACACCTAAAAAACCAAGCAATTCAGGGTCTGAGCAAGGAAAAAAGTTAACGAATGAATCGTAAACCAATACCTGACATATCCATAAACTTGTTGAGGTTCGCAATACTTCCCATCCCTTGTGGCTGACTCGTGATCGTCTCAGCGCTTCTACCTTCTTGCTGGCAATTTCGCATTTGTTCGTCCATGAAGCGGACTCTAAACTGGGTATAAACACAATCGAAAAAGAATACCTGCATAAATTGACGAAGTTTTAGCGTTATCACAAAAATTAATAAAGCAACTCTCAAGCGCATTTGAATTTAAAGAAATATAACCAGAACTTTCCTAATTACTTACTCTTTGATTCGAACCTCGATGGCGGTGCACATGTCTGACAAGAGTTTCGGCGGATTCTCTAGTCGTATCGTTGTATCAACTAGTTCCAAACAGAAGCGTGACACAATCGCGTCGATAACCTATTATGACTACTTCATAGAGCCTTACAATGTATATCACATATCCACAAAGATCATTTTGATCGCTGAATAAACCTTGGTGAATGCTTTAACTCCATCCTTGGCTTCGGTATCGAATTCCTCTTCACAGGTTTCCTTCTCGTTCTCATAAAAACTTCGAGCCAATTCGCTAGATGACACAAGAGATTCAACAACGCTACCAATCATTGATGAAACTATAACGGATTAATAATGTTAACAAAAATGCCGAGAGCTCGAGATTAGAACTCACCGAGATCTTTATTGTCAAGCTTCACGCCGTCTCGAGATTCAAATGTTAGATCCAACTGCCTCACTTTCATTTTGCTTGCGTCAGATGTTAAAGCACGCCATGGGACTTCTTCAATTGAAACTTTATTCACTACTCAATCCACAAAAAAAGAACAAAGACAAATTGTGGGCAAGAATTCAAATGGGACCAGAACTATCGCTCATGAGAACTCACCTATTGTTATGCCTCCAACAAAACCGTCTATGAGCCTTAAAGGCACGTTCATGGACGTCAGAAGTTCATTGACATACTGAAAACAAGAAACTATGGCAAAATGAGCTAAGAAAGCATCACTCCCATAACATATTTGCACTACAGAAGGATTGATTTGGCCTTGTTAAAAGAGCATAACAGTCAAATACGTTATAGTAGGGAAAACGTCTTTTTACTATCAACCACTCAACAAAAACCTAACAGAGTAACTTTGCTCGGAAACATTTCCCAGGGAAAAACTGAAGACCTGCATCATGCTGAAAATACTCTAACAGGTCATGCCGCTTCGACGTGAGGGGTGACCTATGACGAAAAATGCGACCCGATGATGGAAGCCTTTATTTGAACCCTTGCCTAGTTTCGCTTTTTAAAGCCACCACTACGTAATATGAAAGGTACAAGCTCCCAGCTTGCATGACCTCCTTCAAATCGCAAGACCGAAAATCAAAGGGAACAAGAAACCGTGGCCTAGATGTAATGCGGGAGGATGTGGAGGGAACCCTCAAAACTTNTCTCGGACCAGGTTGTCTCTAAAAAAGATGAAGAGCTGTGGACATTACATGACAGTGATTGTTTCAGTGCTTTGGGGACAATGAGCCTTGAAGAGGGTATCATCGAAAAGACTTGTTCCTTCCCAGTCATAGTTGTAAGTTAGTCATTCGGCTAGCCTTCAGAATGAAAGATAGTCAGGTACTAGGACAGGAAATGCCACGATGCTTATGTAAACACATAAAAATGGAAGAAAAACAACTCCATGTCATAAAACTGGCTCTACATAACAACACCGACAACAACCAAAAATTTCCATTAGATAACGTAAATCAAATAAGAATAAAATAAACAAGTAACCTACATGTGCATTGATGTTTACTTCATTTATCGTTAGTTCTCCATCAATTAATTTCACGGAAAGCTGATCGAGTGTAAGATTTTGCTCGAGGAACTGTCCGAGATATCGCTGAATCATGAAGCGACACCATCGTGTGTGGAGGCCCTCCGTGATATTGAAATCGGAAAGCTTCATGCAATCTGTGAATGGATTATTTGATTGAATTTATCACCGTCAATATCAACAGTAATATTTCAACGTCAAACAATCAAAGTAAAACTCAAAAGTAACGACGGCAAATATCGATCGAGTCCAAGCAGCGACCTGAGCGAAATCAAAGCAAAATACACATTTCCGATTCGATTTTTATGTAAACACTATCGAGACCAACCATACTGTCACTATGCGTTACCAAAAACAAATTTCTGAGAAAATTCATATAAAAAAGACAGAAATGATCTTTAACTGCTTCATCATGAACTTCATAATTGAGTCATCATGAATGCCAGCAAAGGGCATCTATCTAACTAATCCGCTTCGAAAGAAGAAAAGTTCATCGCATAATGTTCAAACATTTAAAAAAAACGGTTGAATTCACATGATCAGAGCGTTTCGTTGCGTAAAATTCGGTGTGGTCGACGTTTTGATACGCAGCCAACGCTCAGCTGTTGCCCAGGTGGCAAGGGATGCTGAATTACTGGTTTTTCAGTGTTTTTGTCGCTTTCAGGGCAGGAATCGGTATTTGGGAAAATTCTTCATATACTACGATGTATTCTGCATGTAGATATGTAATTAGTTTTTCTAGAAAGCTCTCCACAACATTATATTAATTACTCATCGGAAAACCGCGCCCTCCCCAATTCCTAATGAGGGCTCCATTAATTTTACTTTGACAGTCAAACCTGTTAGAATTACCGATCCCTCAACACTGCCGCTCGTTTGCAGGATAAACTTGAAAAAATATTGATTTTTTTTGGGGTAGGGCTAAGTACAGGTGAACTGTGCAAATTAATGTAGGACATTGCAAAAACTGGAATTCAGGAATTGAAAATGAACTTTCAACAGAAATATTTTCAGCAAGCTTTACGAAGAACTAGTTTGGAAAGAATACAAAAACATCAGTTCTACACATATAAATCACCATCTAAGGAAAACGATCAACAAATTGCCAACAGATCGTTTTCATGACTAATCACCGCCCACCATTTTTTAGAAATGTTACAGCGATACATGGAAGGTAGGAATGATTCCAAGTAGAAATTGAATTTCATGTAAAGTATTGGATTGGTAACTAAATTATTGCATATATTTCAGGAAAATCTAATTTACTTTTTTTTCACAGCCTATACTGCCCATAAATTACTCGGGTACCTGGGTATAAATTACTCTAAAACACGTTGTTGCCCTTCAGGATAAATGTTTGAAGTACTTAGAAAAATACGCAGTTACTCTGTTGTCAACATAATTTAACATACGTTATTCACCTTGCTGACCACCTGTTCAAGTTGCACGTCTGCGGATTATGTGCTTCAGTTAAACGATCTGAGGGTCATGTTATGCATCCAGCTAGAACATTGTACCAGATCTCATGGGACCTCACAATGTTGTCCCATAGTGCGCCGTATAAGTGATGGGTATCCTTTGTTAGTCTGGTGTCTCTTCCTACTCGCGCTGCGCGATTACCGTACTGCGAAATCCGCTGCGAACCCACCCACTCCCCTCCCCTTGCTCCCTGTGCCCGCCCACAGGGCACGTGCACGATGTAGCCTGTCACCTGCTCATTTTTCAAGTTGCTAAAAATGTATGGAATCACCGAACCATCTTTCAAATGAGGCCACGAGTCTTTTCTATGAGGGTCGCACTCTTTGAAACGAACAAGGGCAGGAATTCAATCGGATTCAAATCTCTATTGTAGTTTTAGTCGTAAAATGACCGGTGTGTTGATGTCGAGCCATGGAATGGTGTGGGCACAATCTATTTTTCTATTACTAGTAATATGGGGAGCAGTTCGGGGAATTCAGGCACGTAGTGGATCTCCGACCTTGTCTGAAACAGTACCATGTGACGATATTGGAATGACCTTTTGGTCAGAAGTCATGGGACCGAGAACTGGGCGGATAGTGACGTGCAGCACAAAAGCTAGTGAGACAACATCCTTTCGGGTAGTATTGATCGGTCTAAAAGAAACGGATAGACTTCTGATATAACAGAAAATAACCCCAGATAATTAAATAAATAACTAAAGAAATGATAAAAGACTACAGTCTTTGGGCGATGATTAATCGTCTCTAACCAGGGAGGGGTAGTCTACTTATCTTGGAACTTTGAATTCAAACCCAGATAAATCGATAGAGTTCTGAATGCTGTTTACGAAAATGGAAATTAAAACTGCAAAATGGTTCTCCTTAAAAAGTT